GTTCTGACTGCCGAAGGCGAAGGCCCTGGTGGTGTCGTGTTTAAGTGTGTGGACTCTAATCTGGGAGAACCGGGTTTGATTCCCCACTCCTCCACTTGCAGCTGCTGGTGTGACCTTGGGCAAGCCATAGTTCTGTCAGAGCTGTCCTCAAAAAAGAGCAGTTTCTGTCAGAGCTCTCTCAGCCCCACCTAACTCACAGAGTGTCTTGTTGTGGGGAGGGGAAGGGGAAGGAGTTTGTGAGCCGCTCTGAGACTCCTTTGGGTAGTGAAGGGTGGGGTATAAATCCAGTCTCCTCATCTTCTTCTTCTTCAGCTTCTGGGAGGGAGCAGGCCACCATTTTGACCCCAGGCGGAGGCTTGTAGACAGGCTGGGTGGGGGGGAGGCGATTTCCCTCCTCTCCTTCCCGCGGGGAGGCCCTGGGCCTTGCATCACGCGGCCTCCTTGGGGCGAGGCTGAGCAGCCTTTCGTTTGGGTGGGAGGCTGGAGTCTTTGCACCCCCAAGGAGTGTTCCCCCTAAGCTGAGTTAGTGTGAGCCAGCTCACAGTTTCATAGCCTCCTCCAGCTCACACTTTTCTGTCTCAGCTCAGGAAGGATGGGGCTCCAGAGCAAACTAATTTATGCAGCAGCCAAATCGCTCACTCAAAACTGTAATGCCAGGAGCTCACAGAGCAGGATTTTTGCTCACAGGACTCCACAGCTTAGAGGGAGCACTGCCCCCACGGAGTGGCGAGAGGCCTCTTTTCTGCCGGGCACACCCCTGAATGGGCAAAAGGGGGCGTGGAAGGGGGTCTGCTCAGACCTGCCGGGAAGTGGCACCCTGGCCCAGAGAGACCCTTGGTTGGTGAAGCCCAGAGGAGCGGATCCGGTCTGTGTCCCACCAGGCTCTCTGTCTTGTGCAACGAGCTTCCCATTCTCAGGCCAGGGCTGACTCCAGGCAGAGGAAGGTGCCCCCAACGAGAAGCTCCTCAGGGTGCATGCCGGGAGTGGGGGTCCCTTCAGGGGACACGGGGACTGTAGCAGTGATGCTGCGGGATTGGGGCTGAGCAGTGGAGGCATTGGCCGCAAAGCCCGGGCGGTTCTTCCTCTGGGTCCTCTTGGGGGCCGTGGCCACCTGGTTCCCCTTCTGCCTCTGGCTGGGGGGGACGCAGTAAGGCAGGGGTCTCCGGCGGGGTGCCCCGTGGGTGCCCTGGTGCCTGGCCAGTGCTTTCAGAGAGTGGGCAGGGCCCAATTCCGCACAACAGATCTGGTTAGACATTTGGAATTCCTACGAAAACAAATCCTCTGTACTCTCTTTGAAATGGCAAAATCTTAAAATTATGACTAAAGGGTACTTGACCCCTGTACAGTTATCTCATATCACACACAACCCAAACTCCCTCTGCTGGAGGGGTTGCAAAGAGAATGGCACCTCCCTCCCTCCACTGTTGGATGGATTGTCCTATCGTAGCACCCTTTTGGGATGAAACATTAGAGGAAATTAGGTATTTTATTTTTATTTTTTATTTTTCAAATGTATGCCCCGCCCTCCCCCGTGGGCTCAGGGCAGCTTACAGAGGCAAGGCGAAACCTTGCCATGATAAAACATAATATACATAATAATTAAAAAACATACAGTACATCTTAAAAATCCTAATTTAAACAAAGTGCTCAGTGTCTTCAAGTCCAAAGATGACAGAACGTATGCCCGAAGTTCCTGGTGGACGGTTTAAGGCTTCTTTCATGTTCAGATGTTTTTTCAGGGCCTCATCCAACCCACAGCGGTGGTGATATAGTGGGGGCGGCGGCTCCTACTCAAAGGTCTGGCGGAAGAGGCTCCGTCTTGCAGGCCCTGCGGAACTGCATAAGATCCCGCAGGGCCCGGATCTCCCCCGGGAGCTTGTTCCACGAGGTAGGAGCCACCACCAAAAAAGCCCTGGCCCTAGTAGCGGCCAGTTTGGTATCCCTGGGGCCCGGGATAGCTAGCAAATTTTGGGCCCTTGACCCTGGTCACACTGTAAAAAAGAACCCAGAGTTTATACTCTTGAACCTTAGAAATGAAACTGCTTTATCCACTATGCAAAGAAAAGGGAATTGCTTTATTATTATTATTATTTGCAGCCAAAATAAACCATAGCCTCAAAATGGAAGTCAGAAATTAAACCATCCCTAAATTTATGGTACAAAAAGTTATGGAACTTCCATACATAATGGGAAAAATGTCCAACATAATGAATCCAACAAAATCTAAGGGCGAATATAGTGAATTTGCAATGATACGGCTACCGATCTTATCCCATCTAGTTTCTCAAGGAACAAGACCAGAGATAAATAGACACTCTTCGTTTGGGGTAAATGTTGGTGTCAAGACTAAGCTTATGAAAAATGCTCTCTTTTAGGCTGTTAAGTCTATGTACACCTATCCTGTAAACGATTGTTATTACTTGTTATTGGAATTTTGAAAATTGAATAAATCATATTGGGGAGGGGGAAAAGAGAGAGTGGGCAGGGACGGAGGTGGGGCTTGTGCCCGGCAAGGCTTCTGATTGGCTGTTCGGATGTTTTAAAATGTTACTTTGGTGGCAGCTGGCACCACCACGCAAGGCTCTTTGCTGGAGGTAAGTTGCGGCAGCCATTCTGTGGCCGGCTCCGCCTCTTCCGGCACCACGTGGTCTGTGTCAGGGTTCTGGTGGTGCTCGCAGGCTCAGAAAGGTCGGGGACCCCCCCCCCCCCT